AACCCAGTCTACTCACCAACAGAACGGGGTCTGGAGCCTTCAGACGCTCTGCTGGGTCTCCTCAGTGTTGGACAAAGACAAGAAGAAGAAGAAGGTTTGTGCTGCTGTGAGAGGAGCCCTGAGATCTGGACTGGACCAGGTGAGTCGCTCTGGGCCCAGAACCAGGAGCTTCCAGCTTTAACCCTGATCCAGCCCAGGGCAGCTGTGGCTCATCGGCGTGTAACTCTTGTGTTATAAAGTGCCTTGGGGGGTTAGGCTGGATAAAAACTGCTTATTTGATGTTTAATGACATTCATTTTTAACTGAAGCTTTTAAAACAAACTTTTTCCCGAACGAGTTTTTTAAACAAACAGATTGAAAAGAATTTAAAAATCAATAAAATATTTACATTTACTGACATCCTCCGGTTACCTGGGTCATCACCTTCACCTGGTCTCCTTCACCAACATGGTCTCCTGGACCTGGTCTCCTTCTCTTCCTGGTGTTCTGAGGTATTCTGCTCCACCAGGAGAAAAGTTTAGTCTCCATCCAGCTGGAACCTCTCACATGCCGGATGAAGGAGCTATGGTGACCTGCAGCTCCTGAACAGGTCACCTCCACCATTTTTGCTGTGAATAGAGTCTGAGGAAGACCAATGAGTTAAAGTTGCAGTCGTGAACCATGAGGTCATCTCCAACACCATGTCACAGATCTGGTTCCCCAGCAGCCTGCTGATCCCCTAACATCATTTGTTTATCTTCTCAAACAGCTGATCACACAGTCACACTGCAGTCACGTGAAGTTTAAACATCCCACGTTGTTTTGGTGCTCGCGAAAGTTCTGGAATCACCCAGTCTGCAGGAGCTCCACAGAAACTGCTGGTCTGATGGGTCTGCTGCACTTCTGGACTTCAACCAGGCTGCAAAAGTAAATAAACAACAATATTTTCAACAACCTCAGCGGTCACATGGGACTCGAACGTCATCATCGTCTTCTTTTCTGGCTGACTTCTGTGGAGGAACACGGAGATGTTTGAGTTTATGACGTTGAGCAGGATTAACAAACTTCGGGTTTTACAGCTGAATTTGAATGAAACCTTTAAGTCCATCACAACCGGGTTTTATCTGCTGCTCTTGGTTCTGGGATATTTTCCTAGCAGAGCCAGAACATCAGGTTCTGGTCAAACTGGATCTTCTAGTGAACACAAGAGGTCCAAGACCTGCTCCTCAGGCTTCATTAGGTAATACATCAAAGCTGATGGAGTGGTCTGAAGCAGCAAACATCTACAGCCCGCATGATATGGAGCTCCAGGACCAGGCCTGGTCCGCTGGTCTAACATGAAGAGGAGTCTGCTGATCTTCATGGACCTCTGAAACCTGCCAAAGTCCAGCAGCTGCTCGTATTTTTGGATCTTCCTTCTCGTGGGAAACCCACCAGCTGTCCCTCGTGTTTATTCTTCAGCTGCACCTTCTACACCAGACCTGAAGGTTCTGATGTCCAGCGTATGATCTTCTAGATCAGGTGTCACCAACTCCAGTCCTCGAGGACTACCATCCTGCTAGTTTTCTGAGTTTCCTGCTCTGCCACACCTGAATGGAGTTATTCAGCTCTGCACAGGCCCAGTAACGACCTTCGTATAGGGTAGCCCTCGAGTTGGTGACCCGTTCTAGATCATGTGATCCCTAGAGGCTTACGTAGAGGTGAAGAAGGTGACGCTTGTCCTACAACAGCTTCTAAATGTTTATTATTCAAGAATATAATAAATAAATTATGCTTTAATATCAGAAGAATGTTCCAGATTTAGACGCATCCCGGTTCTCCGGGTCACCAGAATCTCCTGTTATTATTGTCCTGATATTTACAGACGGTATAAATAGGTCATCAGCTCAGAGCAGCTGCTCCGAGGGAGGAGTCCAGGCTTCAGCTGCAGGAGGAGAACCAGAGGCGCTCCTCAGGAGTCACCAAGAAAATAAAGTTCTTTATGCTGCAAACTGGGAGGAGCCAAGATCAGCGCCCTGGTTCTGGTCTGGTGTGTCAGAAGCAGCAGAACCAGATGAGATGTTTAGTTTGGGTTCTCGGGTAATGCTGAGATGTTTTCCTGGGGCTTTGTCTAACTTACTGCTTAAAATGTGTTTTACTGATGTTCTGTCATAAAAAATCACTTCTGAATCAAAACCTCATCCACACTATGTGTTAAGGAGGGTTTGGTTCTTTCCAGGTGAGGTGGCAATCAATATGGTGTATCGGTTAGAATACAGAAAGAGGCTAAGATGCGTCCTTTGATGTAGGTCCAAATCTTTAATCTTGGTTGATGATCATCGTTAACAGCACTGACAACAGTCTGAAACAGTAAACATAAATAATAATGATAAGAAAGCAGTGGCGGCTGGTGAAAAATATTTTTGGTGGGGCATGGAGGAGTCATCAGGCGTGCCTGCATCCTACAACCCCACTCGCTTCTACTTCCACCAACCACAGAGTACTGCTGGAGCTTCCACTTCATCTGCAAGACCATCTCCTAGACGTGACTGTTGCAAAAACATTCCAAAGGTAACCAGATTTATGAAACTCAACACACTGGATTAAGGGCATTAGGATGTGAATAATTGTATTGATGGTGGATTGATAGCCTTATGATTTGTGCATTTTTGGATTGCTGAACTACATTAGTATATTTTTACAAATGTGACTGCTGCATGTGACACTGAAAACTAATTTGTAGAATGTTTTGTAAATGTAGTTACAGAGGTGTAAGCATTCAAACCCACTGCCGTGTATTATTACTACTTAAGTCTCTCTCTCTCACACACACACACACACACACACACACACACACACACACACACACACACACACACACACACACACACACACACACACACACACACACACAATATGTTCTCCACATCATTCCCTCTGTGCCCCCCTCTGCCACCACCTCCTGCCCTGAGGAGATCGGGGCGTGGATGAATCAAAATTTTCTGCAGCTGAATGGCTCTAAAACAGAAGCCATTCAAATCGGAACACCCCACCAACTCCGCTCGTCTCCTGTTACATCTGTTTCGTTCATTGGTAATACTATTCCCCTCTCTCCCTCTGTTACTAACCTTGGGGTCAAGTTTGACCCAGAACTCTCTTTTGACAAACATGTCACCTCAATTTGCAAAACCTAATTTTTCCATCACTGTAACATTTCCAAACTGCGTTGCTCTCTTTCCCTTTCAGCCGCAGAGATGATTGTCCACGCCTTTGTCTCCTCCAGGGTGAACTATTGTAACGCACTTCTGTTGGGAATACCTGGCAGGAGCCTCCAAAAGCTCCAGTTTGTCCAGAATAGTGCTGCCAGGGTCCTAATGGGGGTGCGGAAACATAAGCATATTACCCCCATCCTCCAATCCCTTCACTGGCCCCATTTACACCTTTGTATAGAATACAAGATCCTCCTGCACACCCATCACTGTCTTCATAGTGCGGCCCCCATATACCTCACTCATCTTCTTTCCCCACACACCACTACCCGGACCAGAGAAGGCCAACGGCACCTCTCGGTTGCGCCCAGGACACGGCTTAAGACCATGGGCGACAGAACTTTTACAGCATCTGCTCCGTGTCTGTAGAACACTCTTCCTGAACACCTCAGAGCCCCCCAGACCGTCGATGTTTTTAAAAGGGAACTGAAAACCTTCCTTTTTAGAAAAAGTGTCTGTGAACTTTTTTTTAAATTAGTTTTTATCTGTTACTTGTTTGATCTTTGTAGCACTGTGAGATTTGATGTCCAATGTATAGACCCTTTTACTGTTTGTAAACAACATGACATCATCGAGAATGCGCGTGCAGCTTGGCAACAGAGAATGGCGTTGTTTCAGGCTTTATCAGCTATGCTGCGGGGTTATCACCGGCAAATCTTGAATGTTATATTATTAAACTCACTTTAACGAATGGCAACAGACTCCCGGATCCCTGTGGCATTACGGAATGGGTGGAAGATGTAGGTGCGTGGCCAGATATCCAGTGGCCCGATATATATACGTTTTTAGTGGAGAGGCCCAGTAAGTACAGATGTGTGAAGCTACGGGCATGCAAATCGTTAGATGCATACAACTATGTTGTCTGTGGCCACGTACAGAAAGTAAAATATCACGACATAGACTCTGAGTTTTGCGTCTTGAAGGCAGAAGTCCTTCCTAGCCAAGGACAAGGACACAAGACTGCTATGTACGAGGCTTGGGTCATAGTAAACAAACCAGAGAACTACGTCTTCACAGCCAACTGTACCTGCATGGCAGGGTGAGTATAGCATAGGTTTCTTTTTTTTGCGTGCTCAGAGTACAATCGTGTTAATTTTAGAGAAATACAGTTTATACTAATATGCAGTGGGAAAATAAATACAGATGAATTAGAATGAAATGTTAATTTGAAGCATGAAATAAAGCGTATACATTTGTTTAATTCTGTCATTTTGATGTTCCAGACTTGGGTCATGCTGCAGCCACGCAGCAGCAATTTTATTCAAAGTTGAGCTTTGTGTTAGTAAATAAATAGACTGCTTAAAAGCAAACCAGCAAACGCAACTTACTTTATTTAATAGAACAGACGTTAACCAGCTTTCTGGTGTAATCTTAGTACATAATTACCTTACCTGATATAAAATGGGCGCTACAAACTCGAGCATTTCGGATCGTGTTTTAAGTCCAGTTTTCATGAACCCTTTTGATGGCCTGCAGCCACAGACGCCTCCGATTTTGTTGAAATGGATGTGCTCCCTTCGGAATTCTGTAAAGTTTCAGTCCACTGCTTGAAGAGAAGCGATTCTGGCATCCATACACGCAACAACCCGACATTTTTATGTGCTCAGAACTTTTAAAAAAAGGGTTTAAAACGCTGTTTTAGTATCGAGTGTGAATGAGGAAGCCTTCACTCTCGTTGCCAGGCTGCGCGCGCAACTTTTGAAGACGTAGGTAGTAAAAGGGTCTATAAAAAAGAGTGCACTGTTCTCGATCTTTCGCCTTAATGTTGGTACAACTAGTCTTAAGTGTGATTTTTTACTAGAAGGTCTTGAAACAAGTTTTCAATGCAAAAAATGTTATCATGCAAGCTCAGATATGACTCTGTAATATAATTTTACTTAAAATGTACTAAAAATAACTATTTTTAGGAATTAGCAATTAAGTAAGAAATAAAAGGCACATATTCTTATAACAAGATTAATATTCTTACACATTCTGCTCTCGTTTAGTATGTATGTCTCAATACAAGATAAAAAAATACTGTTTTGCTGGATATAAGATTGTAATACTTAGTTAGATGGACCATTTTTGCGCAGAAGGTGTTCTGTCATGTTGTGGAGTTGCTACTGCTAATGCTTAGCTTCTACTAGCCAAGATGTGCTAAGCTCTCTCCTGTCTTCCCCGTCCCAAGTCAAGATGGGTGAGTCCATGAGCGTAAATGTACAGTGTGACATAGAGCGGTGTGGCTTTTTCTGACCAGAGCGTCTTGCTGTTTGTTTTCTATCACCGGTCAAAGCAGGAAATAGGAGCTGAAGACAGTTGTCATGTTCTGCATGCATAGGGAACTCCGAGAGACTGAGAACAAGTATCATCCGTCTCTCAGTGAACCTCTCCTTTAAAAGCAAAAGTCTCTCTCTCCCTCCTCTCCCTCCTTCCCCTCCTCCATTAGATGTCTGACCCTCCAGAGCTTCTTGGCCCGACACGTAGCCCAGCCAGCAGCTGCTGCTGTCAGACAATTAAACAGTGATTATCCAACTCCAGCACACCTCTCACATTTATTCTGGAAAGCTTTAATGTTGTACACAAGCAAATGTGGGGGAAATTTAGAAAAATAAGAGTCATTCTGCTGCATGGCTCAAATACAAAGCTGCTGTTGATGCTCGAGGACTAAACGCCGCTGGCAAAGATAAATGTCTGGCCTGAGGAGAAAGGAGAGCTCTGTCTTCTTTCACACATTGATGGATGTCTAGATAAAATTTTACAGTAAAGGTTGCAGGTTCTGGACTTAAACAGAACTTATTCTGTTTTTGCAACCAAGCAAAGAGACACC